TTAAAATGAGAGCATTTGTTCTTGAATTGAGAAAATTTGCTCTTTAATTGAGAACATTTGTTATTGAATTATGAACATTCGCTCTTTAAAACCCTGTATGCATAAATTCAACAACAGGTCTACACATTATCAATCTTTAAATTGTCATTCTTTTTTAAAGAACATTTACAACTCATTTGAGAAATTCTCTCTGTGTATCTACCCACTCCCCTGACAAGAACCGAACATGTATATTGTATCTTGGCCCATTGTTTGTTTGGTCCGCCACTCACTCCGTTTTATCTACTGAGATCTAAGTTCTCATTTCGCATTTCCCAGTTCCCAGTTTGTTTGTCCACACCTCCGCCTTTGGGCTTTGGCTCCGGGCCTCTGGTCCCTGGTCCCCAGTCCCTAGTCCCTGGTCTCTGGTCTGGCTTACTTTAATTGTTAATTTGGCTTATGGCTTATGGCTTCTTCATTTTCGTCGCCCGTCTTGACCACAAATCATATCCTGGCCCCCGGGGGAGCGGCTCCGAATCGGGCGACAGGGGAGGACTCACTTAAGGTGTCTTCGCCTTCGCCGTCGCCTGCCTTCCGAGGGATGGGTGAATGTAATCAAAACCAAATTGCTGAAATTATTATTTAATTAATATGGAGCCAGCTGTGATTTGCCTTCCAATGATGGACTGCGGCGCCATATGGTAGGTCTTTGTTTTTGGGCAGGAGAGCAAGGCATTCGAATGGCCACGTGCAACAGTTTAGAGCATTGAAAGCAAATGCTTGGAGAGCTTAAATTGATACGTTTTATTGAGATACCAACTTAAATTAAATAAATAAAGCCTAATTATTTGCTTTGTGCAGGGATAAGCTGGAAATACCTGGGAATTTGCTGGACAAGCATAATAACTTGACCCAGAGTTATTAAACCATTTCGCCGTTATTTGTTTAGGATATCGCAGTGCGTTTCAGGGTCGTCCTTGTTGTCGAGGGAGGAAGCGGAAGTGGATGAGGATGGGGAAATGGAAATGGAGGGTTGCCAACTCGGCAATAACTCAATGGCTAAATCAATTGACGCTCTCTCGACCAATCTGGCAGCCCGTCGAGAGTGCAGCTTATATACCGTCATGGCCAACATGCCACGCCCCTTACCCTTCCTTACCTTATTTTACCGCCCCCGAAAAGTTTCTCGGCCAGCTGGCGTTGTTCTTGGCAATCCTTGAGAGCACTGCAGCATCCCTTGCATCCTCCGACCATCCGGAATACCATCATCCCCATCCCCATCCCCTTAACCATCCCCCGGTGCCACTCGACAGCTTCAAAACAAAAAGTCAAATTGAATTACTTTTGCAACATGGCAGCGACGCCACTCATTGTTGTTCGGATCCAGTTGTTGTTGCCGCTGCCATTATCCTTGTAGTGTTTCCGCACAAAAGTGGCAACAGCACCTGGGAATCCGGTGGGGCAGGGAGCTCAAGTTTCCAGCCAGTCAGCCTCCTGCTCCTCCTTCTCCGCCGCCAGTCCATCCGAGTAAAAGGCTATTGAAAGAAGAGTCCTTGGATGGAGGGTGGGGTATACCCTCCTGGAGGACGGCGGATTGGCCAGCACTTGGCCAGCTATCTCCAGGAGGCCGCCAGGCTGCACTGCATCCGAGCAGCAATGTGGCCACACGGAGAAAAATCCCTGGCAACTTGCACTTCACTTGGGCCATTAATTCTTAAAAGCTTATATTCAAATTTTAAAATATTTCCATTCTTGTTTACTTTGTTGAAATATAGGCAAAATAGAAAAACTGCATTATAGGGTTGGTAAAACGCTCGATAGAACTATCGATAATATCGATGGTTTTTAAGTTTATGAAACATCGATGGCTTGGGCTCATTATCTATAGTATCGCTTAGCTAAATAAGTTAGTTTTGAAAAGATTACTTTAAGTAAATTTTTAAGAAATTTCCGATAACATTTGGGTTTTTGTGGCTTTTGTAATTTATTGTTTATTTTCTCTCATTTCCAAAAGATATTATACATACCACCATCAATATTTTTGACTATCGATGTTTTTACAATTCTTTCAACTACAATCTTGACATATCACATTAACATTTCAAAACCATTTTAAGATCTTTTCTAGATATTAACCATGACATGTTAATAAATTAAGCCAAGTCGCTTGAATATTTCTCGCAGTGCAGGCCATGAAGAAGTGAATTGTGTGTGCTTTGTAAGCAGAAGTGTGCGAACTTCCGAGATGCACTGGAATATGTGGGTTAGGCGGGAGAAGAAGGGGAGGCGGCGGGGGCGTGGCCGGTTGGCAGGGTCGTCGTCAAAAAGTTGGAATGTCGGGGGGCTAAATGGGCGGCGGGGCTTTTCAACGCCGTCGTACAATGGCAAACATTTCGCTGCATAAGTTGCCGACCCCTCGAATCTCCCAACCTCCCCCTCCACCCATTCACTTCATACATATACATATATATAGAGGAATATCCTCTGTCTCTCGCCTCAATCTTTTGCCATCGTCCAGGGCTTTGTCTGCCCTTATACAATGCAAGTTAATTCAGCACCAACTCTCGGGCAACAGCTGCTCCTCCTGCCACGCCCCTTCCGCCCTTCCGCCGCCTGCTTTTTCGTGGCAGTGCCGTCAACAACTTGTTGGCGTTGTTTCCTGTCAATCAGCACAGCCCCCTCGGCATCCTCCGCCCATGGCCGAGCATTTAAGCCGCATTGTTTGTGGCAAGAACAGAACAGAAAACAGAGAAAAAAAACGAAAACATAATCTAAATTTTGTAATTGTCCCAGGAAGGACCTCGTTGCCCCGGGCGGCGAATGACAAAAAGAGCGGGAGGACGAAGGACGAAGGATGATGAATTCAGTTGGCAGTCAGTCATTTTCATTCTGCTCATTTCTGACTTCAGCACTGCTAAGTCCTCCTCCCTTTGTAGTCACCCATCCTCATCCCATCCTCCGCTTTTCAACATGTCCCGTAGTCGTGTTATCCCGCCTAATACAATATCTTCCACTCAATTTGATGCTGTCCATCCAATCCAATTTTCTTTCCGCCCTCCTCCCTCCTAATTCCCGTTGAATGACTCCTTAGTTCTGGATTGCCAACAGATTGTAGTACCTTTCAAATCGGTTTTTGAACTCTTTCTGTGCCTTACTTCCATCGCCACATTTCCTTTAATCAATTTATTATCCCTTTTCTGCCGACGAATTGGATTAAAGGTATCGGGTTGTTTTCAAATCACTCAGTAAAACTTGGAACTAAGGTGTTCTCTATGTTGATAAAAGGTCTATTTCGTTAAGAAATCGTATACGAACGAACTGGTAACACTGTAAAAATACTGAAGTTGAAGTTGGACGTGAAAGAACATGAATTCAAGCAGCGCAAGCAGTGGATTGGCTGCTGTTTTTATTTCAGAACCTTACAACTCTTTTGTATCATGTTAATATTTTCTTTTAAATGGGGATTATTTGAGGTTTTTAGGCAGTTTAAATAGTTTTACTAAGATTTCTAAATTTCCATCAGAAATGCAGAGAAGATGCATTATTACTAAAGGTCTATCGAAATGATTATCCGACTTGACTGGTCGACATTCTGGTTTCTTTTCGGCTGGACGTCATCGGGAAGTCGGAGAGTCGGGGAATTTAGGTCAGGGCATGGACCAGGCGGCCCGGCAACTGGGTCAGTGAAATAAATAATGAATATCGCTGCCAACAGCAGGGCAAACAACAACTCAACAATGCAACAGCAACAACACAACTCTTGAGTTGCAACACGCGCGCTAAGCGGCTGCATTAAAAGGCCACTCAAACACACAGCGAGGCGCCAAAAAGGGGGTGGCGAAAATATAAAAACAATGCACAAGGGCTGTTACCCCTACCCCCCACTTTCTCGTTACACCCCCCCCCCACTTTTTGTAGGCTCACGAAATCGAAATGCTGAATAAAAAATGGAGAGAGAATTTTGTTGTTGGCAGGCAAAAGCTGGCAACAAATGATGAAATGCTAAAAAGCATGAAACGGCAACAGAAAGTGGGGTTTTGCCAGGGGAGAGGGGGTGGTTTAAGGGGGTGTAAGGGGGCGGCAAGGGGGGCAAGGACTGGGAAGGACTCCTGAAGTGGGCGCTTGATTACACTGAAATGCACTCAAAAGTGGCGAACGAAGCGATGCCGCCAGCGAATGCAATCGAATGGCCAACAACAGCCACACACACACACACATATACATAACCACCCCCTCGAATATGCCACGCCCACTCACACATACAAGGCCCAAAGGCTGCGCCAAAAAGTTCCACAAATTACATTTAAGTGACGCAAAAGTTAAGTGAAACTCATTGCGAAAATCGCGGATAGATGCCATGTGGCATGACTGAATGCGGAGTGGGTGGAAAGGGGGTTGTAAAAGGGGGTGAAAAGTGGGCGGTAAGTGGGCGGTGCAAGGGTTAGCGGTGCAACACGACTAAGTGCTTTGGCTTGCCGAAAGTAGGCACTTGAACTATTTCTGTGTTCTCGCCCACTTACATACGCGTCGCCAGTTGTTTATGGCCCACGGATGCTTCCGAAGGCCCCGATAGCGGATTTATAAAGGGGGTTAGAGAGATGATACAGATTCGAGATTTGGTATTTGAGATTCGAGATTCGAGAGACTTGAAACAGATAGCTGAAACAAGTGATCAACTTGCCAGGGGAAAATCTATTGAAGGGGTTTCCAGAAGAAATGATGATACTATATAATTGTGTACGGATAAATCACTTGCTATATGTATATTTATGTGAAACCCCTGCTATAACTTCTTTGTGAATGTATATCCACTTTTATAGTCGTTCGCATAGAAAACTTCTGTAACAAACGTATCATCTGTTGTAAATTTGCCAGTCTGGCAACTCCGGTAAACTGTTAAGCATCCCTGTTGATCGCAGCCAACTTCAAGGTTTCGTATGTTAAGACCGACGCTATGTTAAACCCGTTAAAATCAGAAGGAAGGAATTTCAATGATATTAGATCTGTGTGACAGTTTATCCTACTAAATTATTTTAATATTTTCTTGCTATTAACAATTTATCATCATAACTTTAACAATTTAACAAACGATTGGTAAATTTAGCTAGCGAAGCTGAAGCACTGTTAATTTTGCCAGAGATTTGGGATGAGGTTGATTAAGTTTTTGGATCAGCTCACCCTCTGCTGGTGGCTGACCTTGAGCTCCCGCCGACGGGCGAATGGGCGGCTCTGGGGACTCAAGGGTCTCGGGCTCCCAGATGACCTCCGCCGGATAGACAATTGCCCGGTGCTTGCCCCCGTGGAGGATGACCTCGAAGTGGTGGTACCTGGCCAGCACCACGTGCGGCTGCTGCTCGGCGAGGAACTCCTGGATGGGGGCCAGCGAGAGGCCCTGGCAGTTGATGTAGACCACCGGAAGGTCCAGATGCAGGGCCGCCTCGTAGACGGCGGCCATCTTGGGACCCCAGACGGCGGCACTCGCGAACGGCAGCCGCTCCTTGGCCAGGAGGCGGGGCAGCTCGGAGGCGTGGCGAAAGGTGTGCAGCGTGACCACAGAAGTGGGTCTCGAGCCGCCAAAGAAGCTCTGATCGAATTCGCACACGATCACCGGCGAGGCGGTGGACATTTTGTACCGGAAACGGATGTCGTCCGGCGTCAGCAGGCTGACCACTTCCGCTTTGAGGCAATCGACCATTTCGATGGCCTGCTGGTAGTGCGCGTGGCTGGCCGCCTGGCGGTGCATCGGTTCCATGGAGCTGCGCACCTGGTCACAGAACGAATCTCGCATCGTTTCGTGGACAAAGATGCTGGCCACCTGGGCGGGGGCAAAGGGCTGCTTGAGGGATCGCAGGAGCGGCTGGATGGCCGCCTGGACATTGGCCTTCTGGCAGATGACGAGCAAAGTGGGATCCTGCCAGGACAAATCGCTGCCGTCGCCGGGAAAGTCCGGTTGCCGCCAAGTGTAGGGAGCGCGTTTCGGCATTATAAACAAAGAATTTTACAAACGAATTAAACTATTTTCCTATTTCGAGAGCTGCTTCCTGAAACTTCACTTGCTTTGCTTGCTTTCACTGGGCGTACTAAGTCATCGTCATGACCCCGGGCGCCTTTCTAATTTACCTGTAAAATCATGCAGGTGACAAATTGGGGGTAAACAGTCTAAAAATACATACTGATTGCTAGCCAATAAAATGTACAATTTTCCATGTTTATTCAGCCCCAAGGTAATATCAACAAACGAAACTTGGTGACTTATTTATGATTTTATAGCTTAATGCGAATTAATTGACAGGCTTTGTTGTTTTGGCTTTACTATTTATGAAACTAATTTAGATTCCATTTCAAGAACCAATTCTTATTCTTGAAAAATCCAATGCAAACATGGTGACAAAGGATTGTTGCAAAAACTATGCGTTGAAGACTATTGATGTCCTGCCTGAAATATCCGATTGATAACTCAATCTCCCTTAGTCCTGCGAATTTAGTCAAGCGTACAGATTCCAGCATGTATATCCTTCTCCACTGCTGCTTGAATATTAGTTTCCCGGCAAGGAAATGAACGTTGACTGCTGTTCTGTTCTGTTCTGTCCTGTTCTATCCTGTCCTGTCCTGTCCTGTCCTGTTCCATCCATCGCCGGCATCTATCCATCACTGCCAGTTGATGGGCAGAAGGGAGAAGGACTCGGTGAATCGGAGACAAGGACGTCGTCTCCGGTTTTGCCTGGCTTCACTTGTGTTTTAGCCTCATTTGCCACATGGTTTCGTTTCGCCTCCCTGGAGAGTGGTGTACCCATATAGCCATATAGCCATGCATACCCCATATCCAACCCATTTCCCAGTGGGTTACTGCACGACGAGTGCAACACAGCAACACGTGGCTTTCCTGCACTAATGATGCATTCTCACTGGCAGCACCATTGCAACATTGCCACACTGCAGCTGCAGCAACAACAGCATTCTCGGCTTTCAAGCCCACTCTTCACTCTCCATCTCGTGAGTTATCCTGCGCCCCAGTTTACTTGAGTAAAATGCAATCTCCCAGCTCTTGGCTCCTAGCTCTTAGATCCTAACTCCCAACTCCCAGCATTCAGCACTCGTGGGAGCAGCCAACCAACCAGGCTTTCAACCATATGCCATGTGCCATGTGCCATCTGCATCCATTTATGTATTATACACAGCTCCCTCGCCCATCTCACTCTATATCTTCTTCAGCCAGTGACAAAATCCAGTGCATTTTGGCATAACCAAAATACGATTGAATATGGACTAGAAGCTCAGTTCTAAAGTGATATATTATTGACATCATGTTTCAAAAATAAGTTACTAAATCTCATGGATATTTGTAGAGACTTTTTGCACTGGTGAATGATTTCGCGTGAAAAGTGAGAGGAAATGTGGTATTTAATAAGTGTGCAACGTAATATTTCTTCTCTATTCACTGGTCTTGTTCCTTTTTAAACTATTTAAGCTTCAATTTACCTATCCACTATATCAACACTACCAACTTTAAAGATTCCATACTTTCTCAGATAAATTGATGTGATCAAAACATTTGTTTTGAAAATCTCTACTCCCCCATACTTTTTTTGAGCCTATTAACTTTCAAGTAAAATTTAAAATCTTTTCAGCTCTTGAGTTAATTTGTCAGAATTGGGAGACTTTGATAAATGTTTGTCGATTGAAGAGCAAGAAACGTTAACGTTTTTTGAGAAATGAAATCACAGGACAGCCTGCAGCTAAATGAAATCCCTTTGGGCCTGCTAATGGAGGATTATTGACCAGTATTGTCCTGTTTTTGCCCTGCAATTCCTTCTCAGCCCTTTCATTTTTTGCGCCCCATTTCCTTGGACCAACTTGGTGCACTTTGTGTGGCAATGTTGTGCGAGGCGCTCGATAAACACGTTGCGCAAAGAAATCGTTGCATAAATTAAGGCTTAATATCCTGACCTCATCGATTCGATGGCTGTGCCTGTGCCAACGGCGATATCGGCCACCACACAAAGTAGTACAACCAACGCCCACCCGGCGATTACTCGGCCCTGTCAGCAGATTGCAATTTTTAGCTCTTACTGAGGGGAAAGGGAGGGAGGAAAACGAATCCAAGTCCGGATCCAAATCGAGAATCGTTCAATTTTTCAACTCCGACAAATGAATATTTAAGGCCACCAAAGTGGGAGGAAGCCAGTGGTCAGTGCCAAGTGAAAAGTGCCAAGATTTACGAGCAGCCCTCCTACCCTTTCTTTTTTGCCAAACTCAGACAACCTTGGCAAATTGACTTTTGCCTTTGGCCTGGATTTTACTGCGTAAATGTGTAGGAAAAAAAATAAAACTCCTCTTAAGCCATTTATTCTCTCAGAGTTTGGGTAAAAGTCTTTGGAAAACCTAACAGGTAGGCAAGCTGTGGAAAAAGGAATCTTGGAACTGCTATATCTTTAAAAGATAAAATATTTCTTGTATTTATATTTCCCAAAAAGTGGCAAACTGCTAATTACCATTCTTAGCTTGTTTTTAAGTTATAAAGTTTCTTTCGGCTTTACAATTCAAATGCCATACATGGCCTATTGTTTTTGAAAAGTTTTTCTTCCCAATTGTTTCGCATCAGCTCTAAACAGAAATTCGAACTCGATGAAATCAAAGTCTGGGTGGGTTTATTTTTGCTGCCAACTGAAAGACAGAAGGCCAAATCAATAACCAATAAAAAAAAATGTTGCTGGCAAGGCCAAGTTACCTCAGTCGTTGCCCTGCGAACAGTTGCCAGGCTCAAATTGGACAGGTGAAAGGAAGGCAGGTGGAAAAGAAGGGGATTCCCCGAAGTACGGAGCGGCAATAAATTAACAAACTGCCGGCCGAGGGAGAGGAAAAAAGAAAAGTAAGGGGAAAAGTCCGCAGAATTGAGATCTGCTGCCGGCCGCAGAAAAGAAAAGCCAAGAAAGAGAAAAAAAAGAACGAAAACCAAACTGAATTAAAATTTTTTGCATGAGCCCCGAGGAGAGCCGGCTGACTGTTGGCTGTTATCAACAGTTATCATGGAAATGCTGGCCGAGTCTGGGGTCCAGAAATATGGCAAAATAATAATAAAGAAAAAAAGCCAACACAAAGATGACACAAAAAATTTATCAAATATCTGCTTCCGGCGAAATGGCGATGACAACAAGCCGACTGCGAGGCAGTGGGTGCAAATGGGAGGCAAGTGTCGCAGCCAATTTGCAGCACCGAAGGAGCCGCCGGGCAAAAAAGACACTGAAGGACACGGAGGGCAGGACACTGGACAAAAGATGACAGGGGAGGACCCAAGCAAATTGTTTATTGTTTCATAATTGAAGCCAAGAGAAGCCAGGACCTCACCTAATACGGCGCCCACTATCCGCCTTAGTACCTCTACTTTGTACTTTCCATCTCCCGAACCGCCCACTGCGCCAACGAAGGACGCCAAGGCGATGGTGTCCGATTGCCTAGAGCATTATAGTTCACCGGTTTTTCCATCAACACTCCTTGGCCCATAATATCGGTCTTGTCTTTGGGCTTAAGTGTCTAGCGGATGTTTCGCAGGATGCTAATGCAACTACTTTACTGAATGGAAAATGTGTACTTATATTTAAAGATTACTTTACAAAACATTTTTTGTAGCCAATAAATTTTTAGAAATATAATTTCCTGCTAAGAGAAGCAGCATTATCTGCTGAAATTTCTAATATTATTCCTGCTCAGACAACATTGTTAATTGCCTTAATGCAAATAAATTCCGACCAAAAAGAGCCAAGGTGAAGCATTTTATCAGGGCCATTTAAAATGATTTTCAAGAGCCCCTGGCCACGTGTGTTAGCCTCAGCTGGCTCATCAGATCCTGGCTAGCCATCAATTTCTGTCTAAGCAGTTGAAAAAAACTTCATTAAACAATGTTCCACAATAACATTCATTTTCGTTCACAAACACAAACACACGCACTTGGAGGGTAGCAGATTTATAAGCATTTTACACCTGTGGCGCCTTTTTAGGCCTTGAACCCCTAACCCCTAACCTCCACCCACCACCCACTGTGCATCAAATGGCTGAATGAAACTGCTGAGCCAGCAGACCACCCACCCACTTTGGCATGTGTGTGCGTGCAAACAAGCTGAAAATTCATTAAACTGGAGCCATAAATTCTTTTAATTGTTTTCTTTACCCCGGCACCTCTCTTCATTTCATTAATTCATTCCCGGTACCCTCTTTTTTTGTTTGTTTGCTTCCCTTATTTTTTGCATTTTCCTCAACAACATTTTCATTTGGCAACAGCAAACATTGTTTGCCCATCTCATTGCTCCGCTCCTCTCATTTTAATGTTTTACGTGATATGTTTGGCATGTCTTTGACGTGGTCTCTTCGACTCTCCTTTTCTCCCTTCTCCACCCCCCCAGCTGTCATTAATTCTTTTCAATTTTCCCAAAAGAAGGTGGGGGTGAATCTGGGGAACCTGAAGAATCTGGCGAGCTTGGAGTTGCCTCATTAGCAGGTACAGTCTCGGCCCGAAAACTTTGACAGTTGCATCATTAATACAATACATTTTTTTGGGCAAATGGCCGGGGAGTTCGGGGCTAGTAGAGTGTAATGAACTGGCAGCCTTGTCAGAGACTTAACTAATGGATTTCTTCTCCTCTCCGCCCCGTCTACTTACAGGTGTCTCCGGCATCGACTTGTTTCATGTTGTAACTCGAGGACTTTCGGTAAGTTTATTTTTTCTCCTTGCCCCACAACAGAAAACAACGAGCGATACAATTTAGGGGATGGTTCTGTGATCGGAAAAGTATTTGGTTTTCTATTCGAATTGTTGCACATTCCACGACTCTACAAACTTTGGCCAGAGGAAGGAACAACAGCGGAAGGATAACGCCGAGATTGTCGTCCTGCAACTGCAAGTTTCGATTTAGTTTTGAGGTCAGATGACCAGAGGGCCGAAAGGGGGGGATGGAGGATATACAGGGACTAGGGTCACAGTTCGAGCTGAGCCACACAAATCTCCTTCTCCCTCTGTCTCTTTCTACTTCTGCAAAAGATAAGCGGACAATGTTTCAGATAAAGCGAACAAACTTGTGCAGCTCCCACTGAAGGGGAATTAAAGCTCGCATTCGCAGAAGTCAGGTGGGAACTTAAGTCCACTCGAAATAAAGAACAACGAGGGGCTGCAATGGAGACCATCTGCGGAAAGGGTTTTCCATGGCTAATGGGGGGATCACCGGATCACAGGATTTTAAATGCAATTGGAAAGTTGGTTGGCGAAAATAGTTGAATTTTATATAGTTTGCTGGAAGCGATTGTTGAGTTTTGCCTGTTTGACTGACAGCGCATTGAGTTTAATAAACCTCTAATCGCTAACTCTATCTTTTATATTTAAATTTAACTATCTTTTAAGTTTAACATTACCGTCTTTGAACCCGTATTTACCTGACCTTTCGACTTCTCGGACTTTTCCGTCGTAGGCACAAGGGGCGGATTCAGTGTCGTGTGGCAGGTGCAAGGGAATTAGCCAGAATGTCTTAATCAGTCCGAATCAGTTGCCAAGGTCCGAGGATACAAGGCCTGTCTGACAGTCATCAGTGTCTTCCGAGTCCCGAGTCCTGAGTTTGCGACACAGGACATTCGACATACATATGTTGGCCGTCTTATGTTGCTGCTGCAAAAAAGAAGCAGTGCAGAATGGTGCTTCAACTGCAGTCACCTGGCTGTGCTTAAGTCCATGCCAATATATTAAACTTATTGTGCCTGGCAGGTGACCTTCCCTCCCCTGCCCCTCTCGCCAGCCCCTCGGGCTTTGCCTGCCCAGTGGCCGTGCTGCACTTCCGGCTGTCGTCCTTGCGGCAACATTTGACATTGCGCAAAGCCAGAGGAGGAGTCCTTCGTTGCCAGGCATCCAGCCAGGCACATCCTGCATCCTTCGTCCTGCATCCCTGACCCTTTTCCACGAGACTCCATCTCCGGCTTGCTCGCTGTTCATTTCAGGAAATGCATTTCGTCAGCGTTAAATGAAAACGAAATTGCCAATTTCAATGAGGATAAGGAGGAGAGCGGGCGAATGAAGATTGGCGGATTCTTTTTGGGGAGTTGAGTTAAGTTGAGAGAAGCAAGCACACAAGCACACATCTACGATCCGGTTCAGGCTCAATCAGTCATCCACTGGCCTGTGATTTTTTGCCAGGATTCACGACGACTAATGTGATTTGCACGAATGCGAAGCTAAGACTGCGACACTGACGTGAAAAGGGAAAAATTGGGCAAGGAAAGGGTGAAAGATAACGAGATGGGATTGAGAGATGGACGGAGTCGCCGAAGAGAGTAGAAATCGATGGACATGGGATAAAAGGACCAGTGACCCATTTCCAATGCCATTACTCAAGATTTTTTCCAGTATTCCGAATAACTAAATAAATACAAGTGTAGTCGAGCACCTCGACTATCAGATATCCGGTACTAAGCTATGCAGCAATAAGACAACTGCTTGCACTGCTTGCATTTCATTTCATTATTTGCTCATAACTTGTTAATAAATGGTTCGATTTGAACATTTCCTTCTACAAATCGAAAGGTATTAATAAACACTACAATAGCATTTACATTTTTACAAAATCTGTAAATATGTAAGTACCAGGTATACTAATAAATAGCCGCTCAAATATATTCCGCTTCCTAACACCTCCTTATTACTTAAATTACCTTCTCCCAAAAGGCGAATCATTCCATTAAGTGAATCTCCCCTTGAAACTAACCGCAAACTCAAAGAAAACGCGGGAGCCACGCATTCAGCCATCCAATTTGAAAAGAACCCTTAAAAATAATAATGCAGTTGAAAGTCAATTGCAGGGAAACCTTAGCCCGGTTATGAGAGCAACTGCGTAAATCAACTCGAGCTCGAGCTCAGGCGAATGAAAGCCAAACAAAAAGAGAGTCGTTTGCTTTTACTTTACCACCCCAGGCGGATGGGGTTAGTTGGCCCATAAAAAACCCCCCTATTTTTAACGGTCCCTTCTATTGGCAATACAAACAAAAGCGGTGCAAAATTATGTCAATGGCATCGTTGTCATGGCCACTGTTCCATTTGGTTCCTCCGCCGTAAGTTTCGCCCATCTTTTTCCCACTCTCCATTTCCATCCTCCTTCGGGAGCTCCTCTCCTGGTGCCATTGTCGCCAGGAATTGCTACTCCCCAGTCGAATAAAATCCAAGCCATCGCCACTAAAAGCCACGTTCAAGCCCCTCCCCTGAAATCCCACCCTTTTGCGCGATGCGTTCCTCGTTCCTCCTTCCTCGTTACCTATCAAAACCAAAATTGAATACAAAAATCTCATCAAAAATCGATTAGGGGTTGATGGCGGGAAAGCCAAGGAGTGGAGCCCCGAGAATCCAAGTGGCAGCCAACTATAGATACATATATACATATACTTTATATGGAAACATGGCGCTAGCAGCGAGAATCGTGTTAATAAACGAGCTTCATCGCCGGGATGTGACAATCCAAGAGGCACCTGTTCCAGGTTCCTTGTTCCTTGTTCCTTGCTCCTTGATTCCTTGTTGAACGCAGCCAGTGGATTGAATAAATAACACTGGCAAATGCAATTTACGAAATTAAAACCGAAAGTAGTGAAAACTATTCCCCTCATCCTCAGCTTCACGGCCCTCGATCAACTAACTCCTTTCGACCATTGTCAGTCGCCTTATCGGTGACAGCAATCATTTCTGCGGCTTGGGAAAACTTTCTCCTAACGACGCCAAACGATGAAAATGATGATGATGATGGCGAGGAGGGGAAGGAGTGGGTTGGCAAGTTGGATCCTAGGCTTATTGCGGTCTTTTCTCGAACCACATCGAATTGGAAAGCAAAGCGTTCATTTGTAAAATTAATAAAAATAGTTTCTCCATCTTGGGGCTTAATGAATATGGATGAAAGTGCCCACAAGTTTCGGCAGCATTAAGTGACACGATTTTGTGGGGGGGCTGAGAAAAACCAATGGGTTTTCATCGATCAAAGGACACCCGAGTTACCGAGTTACCGAGTTCCCAAGTTTACCTTAACTTTTCTTTACTTTTGTTTAATTTTGCGGCTGTGCCTCTACACTCTGTGGTATTCATCTAGATATTTGTAGCTGGAATATATTGTGGCCTCGTTCTATATATACTCGTATATATATTTACATACCTGTCAAATGACCTCAAATCCCTACGCTTTTTCACTCACTTTATGGTTCATGCTTGCCTGCGCAAATCCCATAAACAATCGATTTAAAATTAAATCAAATTATTAACAATAAAGGCAAATAATTGCATTGAAAAAATAGAGTAAGTGCATTGTGATACCCGGTGCTATGTGAACACTGGTGTGCATCGAATTTCCATCCAAGTTGATGGGCATTTGCTAAGGTAATTTACCAGGTATTTCATAGTCGAATAACTCAACGGGTGAAGGTTATTTATTGCTTTGTCCTGTTTGATTTAGCGCACTAAATGCAATTCCATTTTGATACTTTGTGTAATTGACTTTACTTTCCCTCTCATTGTTGTGCTAACAAATAACAAATATGTGAACTGAAGTGGAAAGGAAACAATTTCATTTATTTAAGGTCATTCAACGGTTTTATAGCCTTTAAGAATGCCTTAGGCCCTTCGTATTTCATCTTTCATATTCCAGAGCCCATCGACCGTCTGACAACACCCCTTGGATTCCCCGAGATTAGATGTCATCTTGGCCGTGTTATTTGCCGGCCTGTCGGGCTGTTCAAACGCAAGTGCGGACATGTCCCTACCTTTAATCCTTTTTATCGAAGCCCTCCAACGATGTACGATGTATGTTGTATGCCCTATGCAATGGCCCATCTAGAATTTAGCTATGTACACAAAAGACGAAAGCAAATTGTGTTTTGTCAGTGACATGGAAATCAACTGAAGCGATGTGCGCGATTTACGGGCCGAGGACATTTTGCAGGGCTAAATCAACAGAGTGAATGGCTTCGGATGGGTGGATTTTGGATTTCGGATTTTAGACTTTGGTGTAGGGCAGGGTATATACACATATATGGTAGAGATGTGAGGCTTTTGGGGCTGTTTGCTTCGATAAACTGTTTGAAGCACACATGTGAAACGGAAGAAATGGGAAAACCGGGAGAACAGGAAGAAAACGAAAAGGAAAAGCCCGGAGGACGGGGACAACTCAATTAAGCATGCACAATGCACACGAATTTAAACCGGCTATCTCCCTCTCCCGGGGGAATTTCCAATGCTCGCTGCATTCGCGCAGGACATCCAAATAAATGTACAAAAATTGTGGAAAATATCGCAATGTATACTGCGGCGGACGGTAGACGGCAGACGGTTGGACCTGGGAAAATAAAATTGTTTGATATTTGAGTCACATAAATTTCCATTGATTTTCCTCGCTCTTCCCTTTCCTCGTACCCTGCACTTCGTACGTGTCTTTGGGCGATTCTTTAAATCGCTGGCTCACTGAAAACGCCAACGGCATTCGCGAAAGGGAGAGAAAGTTGAAGCGAATAGACCCCATGAACTGATGGCTGACTAGGATTATATGACAGCTCCTTCATTGGGAATATATCCCCGAAAGAGTCTTATCGCTTAAGGTTTTCCCTGTCACGCATTTGATGTACATTTTAAATAATCTTACTATTATAGTAACTTACCTTACATCATGATTTTTTTTTCGAAAAATACTGTAACTTGGCC